TTAAAATTTTGACATTTTCCGTACTTTCCTCGCACCACTAGTCTAAACAAAAACGACACCTTACCTTTGCTAGGCTTTGTAGTCTGGACTACACTTTTGTAAGTTTGATGCAAAACTCTGAGCAGTAGTGTCCTCTCATTCCACAGAAGACAGACGGCATCTCTGCTTGATTCTCGTGCTTCATTGAAGGATTGAAGTTTCTCGTAGGGTAACGGCGTCGTGCGGCGTCTCCAACTCCCGCATCATCATTCTCAGATCTTCTCGAGCCTGAATGGCTTGTTTATACTCCCTTCTGAGTCTGTATTATTTCTTCTTCGTTTTCCTTTTCTTGCCTCCGGAGTTTAACTGGTTCTTCCTGGACCGCTTCCACCTCCCGAGGTCTGATTTCTTCTTGTGAAATTATCATTATGTCCGAGTTCACTTCCTTCTCTTCCATCAGGACATTGCCAACTCCAGCAACTCCTCGATCTCCATTGCGTGCTGGCCTGCCTCCTTGAGCTCAACTTTTACTTTGTCTCCGAGTAACACCTGTAGGAAGGCAACATTTTCTTGGATCCTTGCCGGTTCTTGTTCGTGACTTTCAATGGAACTATCCGAGTCTATAGATTCATCAGGGTCTACCAGTTTAGGTACATCCATCCTTCCTTCCTTTTTTGCGCTGATGGAAATCACCTTTCCCAGAGTCTTCTCTTCTATCAAGTCTTCTTCTCGTCAGAATGCTAAGAGTCTGAATAATATGGGTTGTTAAAGCCAATTACTTGCTGAAGGCTGAGGTCGCTTGAGAAAAATCAATTCCTTGCTGAATACTGAGGTTGCTTGAAACGCCTTCAGCCTTACCGTTTTCCCTCGGCCGGGATGTAGCTTCTCCTTTATGGACGTTAGTTCCGCCAACACCTTCATTTAAAATTTATGACCCTCTATATCCTCTTGTTTCCCAACTTCGTCATCAAGTAGTTCTAACTGTGTGAGAAGTTCTCCTATGCTCCGAAGATGTGTCTGAATTTCTTGCTTCACTTGCGAAAAGTCCGTGTTGATCGGTTTTTCATCAATATCCAGGAGAGGCTGGGCCATCATTCAGTTCCATACTTTTTCGTCCGAGTTTGTTATGGCGGTCATGAGTCTCGGGTAGATCAGTAGGTCATCGACTCGCGTTTCATGTAGAGGAAGTTGCTACTGAGTCTTCCCGGCCGATGCACCATGGAAAGGAGACAGAGAGGACTTGGTCGTGCCACGCGGATATACTTCAATAAACAACCAAATCAACCATCAATCAGGAGACAAAATACGTAGTGAACAATCAAGAGTAACACTCTGAAGTAATAGTGAGTAAAAAGGAGTAGCACGAGTTACAAGACTAAACAGGACTTGGTCGTGCCACGCGGATATACTTCAATAAACAACCAAACCAACCATCAAGCAGGAGACAAAATACGTAGTGAACAATCAAGAGTAACAGTCTGAAGTAATAGTGAGTAAAAAGGAGCAGCACGAGTAACAAGACTAAGAAAGTGTAAAAAGAGTAACAAAAGAGCCAATTAGTTGGGAAGGGTAGGATCATGGTTATGAGTCATCCTACAGTTTTTATATTGAAGTCGCTGGCTCGCGTTC